TTGTATGAGTCAGCACCCACACTTATACTCCAAAGACAACACGTGCTACCCCTTTTGTTTATGGTTCTCCATAACTGTCTTTGGCGCGGTACTTTTGTAAACGAATTGTTCTTTCTTCGCTCAGATGCACTACGATTTTTCCTTGAACGTAAATTGTCCAATCAGCGTCGTACTGCCAAAAACGATCTCATCGCTTATGGTTGTCTTTGAAGTATTAGGGTTTTATCTTTAAAAATAATTAGAATAATATTGAATGAAATATTTTGTGACCGATAGGCCATAACTTTTCAAATGAAAAATATATGTCATGTGTTTTCATTCAAAATTTGGTGTTTTTATAGTACTTGGATACGAAGCCGAGGTTCTCCGATGCATTTTGTGACGTCACTCGTAATACGAAGTAGCACTAGCGATTCAAAAGTACAAATTTGCGCAGGAGATCAGCGCAAAAAAGTTTGGTGCTTGAAATTGGGTCAAGTCCTTTGTTCCAAAAGAGGATTTTGACCTAGATCGGGTTACGGCTGCCGGTCCCCCTTGCTTTGTCTTTATTCAAAGTCCATTCCAAGCTATTGAAAACCAGATAGTTTGCACCTCTAACGCTTTTCGCCGCGGCCTTGGTCTCCGCGGCCAGACCAAGGCCATATAACCAGGTATGGTCATCAGGCTTTTTTTTACCGTCCCCCTACCGGGCCCGAATGACGTCACTGGGATGGTAACTCGCCGGCCGCCGTCCGTAGCCATTATGGAGGATGGACGTTTAAATACGTTTTCAGCGGATTTTAGTGCAGTTTTGATGTCCGATGCAAGGCACAACGGTGTGATGTTTCCTCAGTGAAGCAAATCAGGACCAGCTGTTACTCGAACCAAAGATTTGGCGACATTATTGGGATCGGACCGAGCCAACGTGCGCCCCGCCGGTGATCCGGCCAGCACATCGGCGGCTCTCTCGTAGATGAAAATCGCCATAGTTTTGAGCCAGGCTTCGGAGTCAATGGATTTCTGGTGACTCTGACTACAACCGCGACTTCCAAAAACCAACTCCGACTCCGACTCCGGGCTGGGTAATCAACTCCGACCGACTCTAACTCCGACTCCGCAGCCCTGCCAGATCTGCGGAGCGGCCAGGGCTGCGGAGTCGGAGTCGGAGTCGGTCGGAGTCGACAGTTGTGACCGGAGTCGGAGTCGGAGTCGACTTTAGAAACCCGAGCCGGAGTCGGAGTCGGAGTCACCGAAAATATGTCGACTCCGCAGCCCTGCTAGGTCTGCGGAGTCGGAGTCGGGAGTTGGAGTCGGTCGGAGTCGACAATTCTGCCCGGAGTCGGAGTCGGAGCTGGTTTTTTAAAGCCGGAGTCGGAGTCGGAGTCGGAGTCGCCGAAAATCCATCGACTCCGCAGCCCTGGCGGAGCCGATGGATTTTCGGTGACCCCGACTCCGACTCGGTTTCCAAAATCGACTCCGAGTCCGGTCAGAACTGTCGACCCTGACTCCGACTCCGCAGCCCTGGTTTTGCGTCTATTTCGCCCCATAATTAAGAGAGGTGTGAACTGCACAAACCGAAATTGTACCGTAACACAAGTATATGTACACATTCCAAACTTCTGACTGGAACGAACCAAATGCGTACACAATATACCGGTTTATGTCATACCATAAATCGTAGTTATAAAAAACCATATTGGACAGATTGGTAGAGGACAAATAAGGCACAAGCCTAATCTCTTGCGACTTGAGTAGGTACAATAAAATGCTCCGAACTGTTGGAAAGTTGTACGAGATGTCGCCTCTCCAAACATAATGTGCCGATTGACTCCGCGACAGCCAGGAACCGGGCAACATAACACGTGAAACAGAGCGGTGGCACCTCAGCACAGGCTCCCCAAGCTCGTCAAGGCGGCGAGAAATGTCCGGCAAGTCGGTAACAGGTTCACCACGGCAGCGACAGGTCAGGCAGGTCGGCAGCAGATTCACCAGGGCGGTGGCAGGTGCGACAGGTCGGCAGCAGGTTTACCAGGGCGGCGACAGATCCGGCAGGGCGACGGCAGTTTCACCAGGGCGGAAGCGTAGACGCGGCGGCAGGTCCGCCGGGGTGGCAGCAGGTCCAGGGCGGCCGCAGGCTCACCAGGGCGGCGACAGGTTCGGCAGGGCGACGGCAGTTTCACCAGGGCGGCAGCGTAGACACGGCGGCAAGTCCCAGGGCGGCTCAGGCTCACCAGGGCGGCGACAGGTCCGGCAGGTCGTCGGCAGGTCGGCCTCAGCAGCAGGCAGTCAGCACTAGCAGATTCTCGGGGCAGCCCTGGCTGAGGTGGGATGTCATCAGAAACTGCACGTCTGGGTGCCGGTGTCGGATGTCGTACAGACCACGCAGCGAGGCTTTACTGCGCAGCACGCCCTGCTGGCAGCGCAGGAGTGTCGGCAGCCCAGCGGGTCCTTTCGGGTCGCCTTCCTCAACTTCCTTTCGGAAACTGGCGCTCGCCACTCAGGGAGTCGGGCGACGTCTCCAAAGCTGGGAGACAGATGCTGAAGTCGATATGATGTGATTTTATGCCCTCAGCTCGGTGCCAGTCATTGTGTTGTTATGTGCAGGTAGCCACTCCTCGCCGTCCTGCACGCCAGAGGACCAGCCCCGGACCTGCAAAACACATTACCAAGTTTATTAACACAATGCAACATGAAAAAAATTCACTAAGCGATGGCAAGCAAAAATAATCAATGCCCAAAGGTGCCTTTTCTTCGATTGCCTTTTCTATGTGCTGATATGAAGCCTCAAAACATGTACCATTTTATATTATGTATTGATTGCAGGCCTGACTCAGAATTCAGTTGAAACAAGCAAATAACACAATTTTTCATTATTATTTTGAATTTGGATCTGGCATTACTGTTCCATGCACAGGTGCGTCTGCGCATAAAATCATATGAAGCAAATGCACTAGATAAATAGTCTCAACAAATAGAAATTAGTAGTAGCACAGGTGGTATAAATAGAAACCAATATATAGACATTAGACAAGGATGAGCTTGTTTAGTTAGCAAATGTCAATGACATAACATTTACATAAACAAGAATGGGATTTTCAGTAATAAGCATGTCAGAAATCCTTTTAAATTCAATTTTGAAAGTTTAGATACAGATTATAAAATCTGGCAACAACTAAAATTGAAAAGAAGTAACAATGAGCTTCAACTTTGCACAAAAGATGTGCCAAAATTTTGGTGAGAAATCACTTGCGCTGAATTTTGAGACCCAAAGCCCCTGGGCCCTGACGCATCTGACAGTGAGTGAATTTTTTCCAGTCTGGGAGGTAAGCATAGATTTATTTGTTATTTGATACTATTTAATTTGACAATAAGTTGTTATTTTCACAAAGCATTAAGATTTATAGAAGCTAACCACTTCCGATCCGAAACAATTTACAACTATTCCATCTCCATTCTCCTTCTCATTATGTTTTAAACAATGCTAAGGTATTTTACAACTTAATATGAGATTATCATGCTCCCTTTGAAAGCCAAAAATGACAAAAAAGGTTAAACCGGGTTGAACTGAAACGTGGCTGATCTGCCTATGATACTCATGCTTATACAGTTGAATTAATTGAATACCTGAGCTGAACTGCTGAAGCTGGTCATTCTTCATGATCTCTGAGACGACAAGTGTGTGAATGCCACTTATGTATATGCTTTTCCGATCTTCAAACACATAAAAAGTGACATTATTATCAAATAAACAATATTCAAACTCCGTATAACAATACACGCAACGGCTGGAAAACACTGCGCCGGTGCGCCAGAATTGACAGCATCGCCTGAATCTCAGCGACCAATCAGCTTTCGACCATCCCAGTGACGTCACATTGGCAGCATTTGGTAGCAATTTTCCTCCTATGACCCGGTAAAGGGACGGACCCCCCCTGGGCCAGACTCTCGGAGCGGATCAGTAATAACTAGACATGGCGGTTTTGGTGGACGGCCGTCAATATGGTCTGTCTTCACAAGGAAATTTGACGGACAATAAGAGTTATTTGTTTGTGAAGCTTACGGACTCGGCATTAAAGGCGATTGAAGACCATGTGAGGACTGGGGTAAGTGTTGAAAAGCTGTTTTTCTCTGTTTCTGGGACGAGGGAATGACGCAGCTCGTCTGCCCTCAGCAACAGTTAATATTTATATTTCTTTTTCATTTGACTTTTCATGGCATACTTTCTTACATAGAGCTTGATCTATTTAGGAAATAACAACATGATTTATCTAGTGGAGTTAAATTTATACCTACAAATTGTACTGGAGTTGTTGTCTTCTCAGCAACAGATGGTTATGTATAAAGCCCCTTTTCAGTGACTTTTCCCACTTGAAACTATCCATATGCTGTCAGAATACAATTAGAAATTACCTGCACTAGATATTTTCTTCCATTATTGGGTACTTTGCTTGTTTTGATGGCTCGGATTGAAGACAATACTCCGAAGTTGTATCTCGCTTTGAGGCATGCTGAAATATGGCTGAATTTATGCAGATAGCTAATGGCTTGTTATGAATTTCAGTCAACATTATGATATTATTATAATGCTTATAGCTTAACCTTGCTAAAGTTGCACTGGTACTTTTCAGTCAGGACTTCTATGTCTGAGCATTATTATAATTGTTTGGTAGAATCCCACTTTTCCCTTAAGTCTAAGAGGAAACGCTGATTGTTTGATGATCTGTGCTAAAAGATGGGAAACTAATTGAGTACTTGATTACTCAGTATTCCATTGGTCCTTTAAATATTCAGTTATTTTATTGGCTCTAGCATGCCACGCCACAAAGGCAGCAAACATTATGCCATTGAAGGCTCACATGTTGTTTAGAAGACTTCAGTATATTGATACTAGTCTGCAGTTTCTTTTTGTTCAGGACATATGCCTGGTTTGTCATAAACACATGTTATTTGCTCTATGTCAAGTAGGTGTATTAAATGCATGATATTTCTATTTTGCTAACCATTGGCAAGTGATATGCAAATCTCTGAATAGACAAAAAATACCTACCTGTTTGATCATTTGTTTTTGTTCTAATTTGCCCTTGTTTGATTTATCATTGCTTTTTAAAAATGAACCTATGTTATACTTAACTATTTAGTCATATGGAAACTTTAAAGGGTATATCTTGCTCATTTTTTCAGCTCTATAGATTCATACTTCTTCCAATAATTAAGTGGTTATGGGTATTTTAGAGAATGAAAATGTGGTCAGTCCTACTCCAAAACCAAATTGAAATGATGACATTTTCCTTTTAATTTTAGTTGTCCCTTTCTTCAGTTCTTTTTTCTTTATAAAACTGTGCACTCATTTATTTGCAGTCTTTTGACTACCTATCATCAAGCAAATTTTTTTTGCTGAAATCTTTTTCTTTTTTGTTCCTTTTACAAAAGTTTTTACATATGTCCATATGTGAATCTCTTCAGACACTCTGCCTATCTATAAACTTTTTTGCCTAATGATACTGATCACTGAAGCTTAAATTCCATGGATTAGGATCTTTTATCACATAAAGCTGTCTACTGAAAAGTGAACCCATTTATTGTTTCCCTAAGATGGTAGATACATTAACCATGTGCAAACCATGCTAGGACACTTGTCATTCCCAGAAGTTATGTTGAAAATACATGAAGACCATTTTACCATGTATTAGCCCATTTTCTTTCCTTTTCATATGTTACCCATATCTGGAATCAAACGGACTATTAACAAAGTTTGAAGCCCGTTTTCTCTGTGGAGGAGTTCCAATGCCGGTTGATTGGCCGTTGTGCGCTCTGCGGGCCGACCGGACGCCGGCGTGTGGCCCGCTCCCTCTCGGCCGACGGCGCGCCGCCGCGGCTCCATTATTGGCCAGGTGCAGCTGTCGGCCTCCCAACGGACCGGCCGCTGACTGCTGCCCGGCGCCGCCGCTGGCTAGGTGCACTATCCGCGCCCCCGACAGCTTTTTGTGATGGCAGTGCGCGCGCGCTCGCGCCGTGCGCCAGTGCTGGGCCGCCAGGCGCGCGCCGTCGCCACTTTCCCAGATCTCTCGCGCGGCCCGGCAGCCGGATGCGCGGCGGATGGACAGGCCGCATTTCACTGGTGCGTGGCGACGCTCCGGCCAGCGCCGGCCGGCCGCCGATATCCGACGGAAATCTACTGGAACCCAAGGGAACCTGCGCGGAACACGGGGCGTGCCGACCGCATCACCGGAACCAGCGGTAGTTGCCGGGGCCGGAGACCGCGGACGGTGGCATTGGCGCAATGAGCGCTATCGGCACCCCTGGTAAATATCGGACTCATTTGAGCTCATTAGCTCCCTCCCCTTCTAACGGCCGAAACGGCATAACTGAGCGCACCTGGCGAGTACTCAGTGCTCACTTTTGCTGTCTGGAGGGGACGGTAGGCCGCCCCGGTATCTACCTGCGAGGAAGAGCAGCTGGGGCGCCGTCGGGACTCCCCGTGCGACTGTCCCCGGCTCGGTACGCGGGCGCTCGGGTAGACGGTAGTTTCCTTCAACACCTGCCGTCATGGGACGCCGCGCAGAAACTCGGCTGATCTACAGGCTCCCAGGGTGTCTGAACGGTGCAGGGTGACTGCGAAGGAGGGAGAGAGGAGGGTTTAAAGGCTAGGAGGTTTCTGGCCTTTGAACCCAGCTGTAGCCGTCCCAGTTGGGAATGGGGAGGGGTGTCGGCTAACCTGGGGAGACACGAGGCACTTGGCAGCCGCGCTTGTGCAAGGCAGCTGTGTTTCGACGCCGACGGTGGCAGCGTCCCGGAGCGCGGGGCACGGCGCCCGCCTACGAACGGCACAAGGTCGCCACCAGAGGTATATTATCTCTCTCTCTGCGGGAGAATACCACAAGGTGGCTGATTCAATCGTGGGCGGTTGAAGACAGACGGTTGAAGTGGAATCTCACCCCACCATGTCGTCAGAGCCCGAAGTCACAGTCACAGTGGAGACAGTCCGCATGTGTCCATTCCGTGCCATGCGATCAGTAGTTTTCCTTCCTCATTTATATGGCGCTAAGTATTCTACCAATGTTGTCGCCGGCAGCGGTCGGCCGTTGCGTCAGCCCCGCCTGTGCCTGTTGGCGGCAATCCGGACCGTGCGAGAGGGCTCGATGTGGGCCAGGCGCGGCGGCCGGGCGCTGCTGACGAGCGCAGCCGGGTGCACGAGGTGGCGGGTCGCTCGACGCACGCTGCTTGTATCATCCCGAATGTTCATGGTTCGTCACGTGCTGGTCGGACTTGTATTGATCGCGAGCCGCCCCTTTTTGGTGTCTGTTTCATCTGAGGGCGTGCAGCTTGCGAATACGCAGTCACGCGAAAGGTTAACGATATTTTATCATCCTTTTCGGTGCTTGTTTTCTTTTCTTTTCTATTATCCCCATCTTTCCGCTCTCTGCGCTTACCGCTACCCACTCTGGGCCATTACGAGCGCGGGCGATGTTTCCCGTGTTCGCGCCGGGGGGCGCGGCGGGAGCGGCCGCTCGGCACCGGCAGCCTGGTGTGCGTGACTGGGACGGCTGCGGCCGGCTGCCGGGCGCGCTGCACGGCTCCGGGCTCGGTCCTGGCCCGCGGCCGGGTCGGCGACCGTCCTGCGCGCCGGCCGGCCGGCTCCGATCGCTCCAGATCGCGCCCGGAGCGGCGCACCGGGCCGGCGCCGCGCGCGCTCCCTTCTCCGAGCGGTGCGCAAATCTGCCTCAGACAGGCAAACAGCCTGGGCCGCCGCCGTCACCGGTACCGGGCCTGTGGCTGCTTTTTGTTCTTAGCGGTGTGGAATTTCACCTGACCAGCTGCCGCCGCCGGTGGCTGCCGCGACGGACCGTCGCTGGCTGAGGTGGTGGCGAACCATGTGAGGTGGCTGGTCACCCCTGTGATGCCTCTGGCACTGAACTTGGCCGGGCAGTCGGTGGGTGCCTGCCCGGTATTTCGGTCAGCTGAGACACAGGGCTGCCGCGTCGGTCTGCGCGGCCGCCGCGACGCGCTCCGTGATACGGGACGGACCAAAGACGGGCTATGATAGGGTGGAGGGCTCAGAGAACTACTCGCCTCTAGAGCGAACAAACATTGCATATCGCATACCGTGGGAGCACTTAACGCTTGTTTGTGGTCTATTGGGCATTTGATCAGTTTTCGTAGTGCTGTATCAGTTTTCGTTTTTATTTCTCGGCTCCTGTATGGGCGCGGGGTTGAGCCGACCCAGCCACGACCGGGTGCCTCTCCTTTGACCCCGTGACGTCACAAATGTCCCAGTGACGTCACGCGCGCGCTGGCGCTGCGCTCGCCACGGGGTGTGATAACAGGGCACGCTTCGGCGGGGATGGGTTAACCGTGGCGCCGCGCCGCTACTGGCCTCTTATCGGGCCGAAAAATACTCCACAAAAACAAACACTGCCGTGTGAGCCGATAGCGCTGGCACCGTGCCGTAATTAAAGCAACAGCAGGCGTGTGGCGCCAGGACCAACGGCGCTAATGGGTGGCGGTGTGATATGCTTTGTAATATAGCTGTGGTTCATACCCAACCCAACTTATTTTTCACATTACTGTTTTACTCAAGATGCTTATGAATTCCATTGGTTCGGGAAATTTGTCGCGTCTGATTTCAAATTCTGGCGCTGTGATCCAGGTAGTGCTGGCCGCTATTTGAAACGTGTCACTAACAGTCTCTTCCTTTACAGGGTCGGTCGTCCATCAACTTCGACAAGAATGGCGGGGTGAGTACCTTTTGTGATATGCTTGAGGCTCCCTTGGTCCCAGGGGTGGGCCATAGGAGGCCCTGTGAGGGGTTACGAGACCCACCACGCCTTGTTAGCTCAGCTGAGCGATGCGGGGGGCGGTGAGCGCCGAACAGCTGATGTTTCGTGAGAGGGGAGTGGTGTGACTCCTGCGTTAGAGAGGGACAAAGCGCCAGGTTCTGAGGAATGTCCGCTCCAAAGTGCGTTATCGAGTGCTGGCCAGAAAAAGTGTGCTGATAGCAGTGATAACAAGTGTTCCGTTTATCGACCATCTTAATTATGATAATTGGTCTCTGGAGTGATCTCGGCGGCACAGCGGACAGCTTTCATTGAGCGACAGTTTGGGGAAATCTGTGGACCGATGTCGTCACTGTTCCCTATCTATTGTGTAGTCTGTATCCGTTCTGGTATCGGTCAGCCGTCAGAACTGTGCAGCGGAGCGGTGCGTGCGCTCTGCCGTCAGCGGATATCATTTGCGCCGGAACACCGCTACACGGGATCGCTGCAGGGGCGTCACTTTCAGCTGCAGCGCTGCGTTGGGCTGTCCTGTGCCGCGTGACGCTTCGTGACGCCATCGTAACGCCGATCCTCTGTTATGGACCGAAAACTGCGATGGCACCACGTGAAGAAATGCCGAATTGGCTATCGGCCCACGGCTCGCCTGCCTTTTACTGGCCTGGTGAGCGTGGCGGCGGGGGTCAAGGCGGTTACGTAAACACTCTGGTCTGGTTTCGCGGCCCCGCGGACCGAGCTGGCCGCACGCCTGATGGCGGTGACGTGACGTCAGAGTGACACATATGACGTCACCGCGGGCCTATCGCGGCTGCCGCCCGCACAGCCTCTGCGGTAGCGCTCGGTGGAAAACCCGCCAGTTCCGCGCCATACGCCGCTCCCCCGGGGATGCCGTACGAAAATACCATCTGCAGCACAACAGACTCATCCCTCTCTCTCGCGCAGACAGAGCTCGTTATTTATTGTCCCGGATGGAACACAAGAGCAATCTATCGTGGGTCGGTAAATGCCGTTCATGATTCCGGTAAAAACCCGTCTGTTTGCAATGCGGACATCTTACTCATTTTCTCAAGTAAATCGCTCGAACGTGTGGCAAGTGCATCACAAGAAATCCGGAGACTTTTTATAGCTTGGCAAAATACAAGTATTGATGCGGATGTGGCCAGACATGGCTGTGCATCAAGAGTCTGGAACGATGGGATGACAGCTTGGCACCAGACGGCCGACTACTTAATCACTCGGGGAAATCGGCAACATTTTCTCCAGATTGCCGGCTTGCGTGGTCGTAAAATCTGCCGCAGAGCCTCTTGAGCCGCTGATCTGAATGTTTTGATCCACCTTTCCGGCAGCCCGATCCCCATCCTTCTTGATCCTCGCCAGAAAAACAGCACTTTCAAAAATTAGGCCTAACCTCTGTCTAAACGTTCTTCAGACCGTTTTCGCTCCGGGTTGACGTAGGCTCATGATTCAGTAGAATGACCGCCATAAAGCTGAATTTATGTCCGATCGTAAGAAGCCCAAACCTTTTCATCGTAAAACACCGCAGCGCGTGCTAGTTTTACTGAGCATGTTGTCATCTTGATATCAGTAGTCATTTTTTGTTGATGCATGACTCATATCCCACGCCCCATGAAGCATAGGTGAGCTCTGCACCCCACCACGAACGATGCCTTGCCATTTTTCTTGCCAAACCAGCACCGCATGGAACGGCAGGACCACCTCCAGTCAGCCTAAACTCGTACTTTCGCCGGCATTGGGCCACGGACTTAAATCTCCCCTTTGTAGCCTATCTCTGAAGACGAGGCTCAGCACCGGCGCCGATAGCCTTGTGAGGAGCGGCTCGACGGTGTCGCCGCCGCGGGCCGGATCGGCTGCCATTGTCTCGCGCCGAGTCCGCGAGCGCAGCGTCGCCCAGCGCCGGTTTATTACCTGCTGATGACGGTCGGCGGGCCTTGATGAGACTATTGCGGCGCGGCCGAGCTGACGGCTCGACCGCCGCCTCCGTGCGGTCATTTGTTCCGCGGCTAATGACGCATGGTGACGGGCGCGGCCGAACCGCTGATTTTCAGGGAGTAATTGCAGTACTTGACTGCGTGTTTGCGGAACGGTTTGCTCTCAGCGCTGTGTGGTCTTTGGAGTCACCGAGAGGCGAGAGATAGGGTGTGCCGCCAGGTGTGTCATCAGTGACGTGGATCAATTCGTTAAGAGTTCGCTCGGCGTATTGTTTGATTGATATGTCCGTCGAGTGATCTATAGCGTCACTAGCAGCTCGCTCTGACGTGATCTCGTATCTCACCGCACTTGATTCGCTGCCTCAGTTGGCGACTCGTTTTTTTCGCATTGTGTGTCGAACGGGGCGTTATTTGCGAGTACATATTTGGTTTGTTCGGCTGGTTTCCATTTTACCAATTTGTTTTCGCTGGTCCGCCCCGATCGATACAAAGCGTCGCGGTTTATCGCTATGGAAGACTTTCAAGCGGCACGATTTTCTCCTGAACAGCCGACGGAGACGCCTGAAGTCGGCTCGGTCGGCTATGGCCTTATCCATGTTTTTGATAATGCCTTCTAGCCCCGCGCCGGGCTGGGCGATATCCATCGGCCCCACAGTCGGTGCGGCATTGGCGTGACACTGGGGCTCTCCCACTCACTTCCCACCTGCCTTGAGCGACAGCGACCGTCCCATTTCGGCCGACCCTGGCCCAGTATCCCCTCACCGGTGGCGCCACCGTTAGGTGATCCCGCCGATTGGTGTAACCCGCCCGGCCAGACCTTGTCCCTGGGTTCCGCTGTCACCCAATCAGCCGGTCGCACTAGCCCGTGGCGTGCCTCGCACCTGGCGAAATAGACGAACGCTTTGGGCGCCAGCGAACGCCGTGGCGATAACTTGCAGTGCACACTGCATGGTTTTGCAACGCACCGATTGCGAGGACTTTCGGACTTCCCCAGCTGGAAAACCTATCCTTCCCGGATATGGGCTGGTATAATAAGCTGCAGGCGTGTCTGTACTCCGCGGGGCAGTGTTGTCGGCTCGTTGAACGTTCCTTATAAAGCAGAGTGGCCGGCATCTGCACGTGTCGTGGCACTCACGAACGCAGCAGCGCGATTCTGACGCCTCATCAGGCGATGTTTTGATGTGACGATGCGATGCTAACGTAGCGTGATGTTACCTGACACACTATGAGGTATTCTGATGTGGCGTAACGCGAGCCTGTCGTGATGGCCTGACAGCGTTACGTGACGATGCATGGTGTTGACTTGCCGCGCCACGTCGTATGGCGTTACGCGTCACGGCGGGGTGTGACGCGCTAGCTGACTCGCTCTTGCCATCCTACCCCGCTGTTCCCCGGGGTCGCGGTCCGGGGACGCCCTGGTAGGAGAGCTCCGCGCACTGGCGGGCATCACGAGCGGCCGCTGGTCCAGCGGTGGATCCGAGGTCGCCCGGTTAGCGGCTCGACGGCACACCGATACGGCGCGTCAGCCCGACGACCGAGGATGGAACGAGGGAGGCTGAGCGGCGCCGGACGGAATTTGGATGTAGAGAAGCCCCGGAGGCGCGTCGCCGGCTGCCGAGCAGCTTTGGGTGTCATTGACTGACGGTCGGCGCTGGAGCTGGAACTGGAGCTGGAAACAAACGGCGCTGGAGCTGGAAACAACCGGCACTGGAGCTGGAACCGGCCGGCGCTGGAGAGAGAACCGGCCAGGCACAGAGCAGGGAGAGGCGGAGGAGAGATGGGATGCGCCGGCTCAGGGACGCCGAGCAGCGGGACCGGCCGTGTTACGCCCGACGGGGTGCAGAGCTAGTCGCTCTAGCTGTGCTCCCTCCCAATGCTCATCTAAAATAGCAACTTAGCTGCGCCGGCATCACTCTGAATGTACGATCATAAGGCCCGGCTGGTGCGCTTTGTGTGACCTGAGTGTGTTTGGCCGTATTTGGTAGAATAGTGGCGTGCGAGGGCAGTTGAGCATTTTAAGGATGCGTATAGCTGGATTGGGAGTCATAAACGGCTGATGCAGAACTATCCGTTCACTTCACTTGATCGTGTATCGAACGAGTCCAGGCAAGGTTCATTAGTTTTAAGTGGGTTTAGGTCGACAACGTCATGACAGTAATTCAAGCCAATTGCTTTCGATTCTTGAGCCTGATGTCGCACGTAATGTAGGTAGGGCGTCGGGTTCCAGTTAGTGACGCAATGCCGCCTCCACTGCCCACTGGCACTGGTGCAAGGCGTGCAGTGGCTCCGAGGGCCTGCAATAACGCTCCCCGGCGGACTGCCCTGGCTGACACCGGTGACGCGCGGGTCTGAGAGCTGCGATGGAGCGCCGAGCGCCGCTGGTCCGCTGGTCCAGCGCTGGTCCGGCTATGGTCAGCTGGGCCGGCGCACGGACCGGTTTCACTGGAAACGATTAATCCTCGGGCGATTGTCGCCGCCGCCGCCGCACCTTGGTTGGGAAACGGACCGGCCGATCTGCGACTGGGGAGAAAGGAGGGAGGGAGGGAGGGGCGGAGCGGCCGATCAGCTGACGGTGCGCGCTGCCAACAGGCGCACCGGGCCGGCTATTTCGGCCCCCGATCAGCTGTGCGCCGCCCCGCCGCCGCCGCCGCCGCGGTCGTTGCTGTGCGCACACGGCTCCTGTCTGTTGTCGGGCCGACGGTCTGTCCCGTTCGGGGCGGGGCGGGCGGGCCTCCGGACGCCGTTATTGCGGCTAGAAACCGGTCGCTGAGAGTGGGCGGCGGGTGTGGTCCATGGGCCGAGCTCGCTCGGCGCGGCCTGCTCTGATCACCGGACCGCTGACGGCCGCCTGAGAAATGTGAATGCGAATGCCACCGTCCGTCGCCTCGGCTGGCGGTCAGGAAGCCACCGAGTGGATCCTAGCGCGGGTCTCGGCCTAGAATAGCGTGATCGAGCGGCTGCGGTGTCGCCGCCACGTCGGCCGGCCGCCGCCACCGTAAGGGGAGGGGCGTCTAG